ACCAATGGATTCAGTTTCAAATAGAGAACGATTATAATGATCGACGGACGAATAACGTAGACTTTATTGTGATAGACGTTTGAAATAAGATTCAACTTTTTAAGACAGAGATGTAAATAGTTGTGATTGATTTTTAATTTTTATTATTATATTATTGCTGTACTTTTAGTGTCAATTTGATTATTTTAAATTTAAGTCTATACTTGTATTATTTATAATTATAATTGTGTACGTATTTTGATAGCCGGTATAGCTTATATTTAAACACAAGATAGAAACAATAAAATAATGTGTGCATAACGTTCGGTGGGCAAATCGACTGAACAAATAATAAGAAATTTTAAAAATAAATATAAATTTAAATAAATTTTAAAAAAAATATTACGAAGTTATCAAAAGAATAAAAATCTGTATTAATGTATTTTTACTTTCCACAAATTGTAATAATTATTTTTAATTCTTTCAATCTCTAATTATATTCAATAATCTGTCGACAAAAATGTTTTTGACATCTTGAATGTTAGTTGTAAAAGTATGTTGTATTATTATTTGTTGTTGCCGAGCGGTGAGTTAACATTGAATTGAACTCTTATTTCACGAATTACTAATTAAAGCTCTAAATCGTCTATGATGGGAAATTAAGCCTTTACTAGAATTTATTAATATTTATAGTATTATGTATGATATACGTTTATAATATGTCTCCATATAGGTACTATCTGGTTATAAAAATGTGTGACGAAAGTAGTGCGAGTTGTATATGCTGCAGACGGGCGATCTGGATTTATGACGCCATAAGAGGATTTTTACGTCCACTGTAAAAATTATTTTTCACCGGAAGCTGTGAAATGCGTATCTGAATTTTTCATCAAATGCAACGGAGCAGTTGCAGTACCCGATCGCGCTAATGATATCGTCATCGTCGCATAATAATAATACTGCGAAAACGGCCAAATGGATGTTCGTTTATGAACTATTATACCCCGTACACTATGGTCCAGGTGTTCTTGAATGGCTGACAAACGGGCTATATCCGGCTCGTGAATGTATTTTAACCGACAATAAGGGGAAAATTACAAAAATTGTCCATTGTTAATTTTTATTTTTATTCGTTTCACATAACTTATTACATTGAATTATATTGTCGTTAGTTTCAGTTTAGTAATTAAAAAATAAAATGAAATAAAAAATATATTATATCATTATTTTTTTTTTAATAAATATATAAGATAGATATATTTTTTTTTACTAAGAAATATTATATACCTTTGACCGATAGGTATCATTGTAATAATATAATATATAAAATTGAATTTTGGTAAACTCCAAAATTTTCCAGTTTCATAATGTGATCCTTAAAAAATATGAGCATACGAAATATCTTACATAGTTGAAGTATGCTCGGCGCGTCTTTACAAAACACGGCAAGGTATTTAATATACGAGTACGTTGTTCACAAATCTATTGGATATATTTTTTCGCGATCCGTGTTATTACGGTCGTATTAGGGTTCATCACTAAAACAAGAATTGAATACAAAACTAATAATTCGTTGCCGAACTAAAGTTTCTTTTGAAAAAATTTAATAACTGATGGTGTTATGATTGCTGAATTTGTGTACATTTTTAGAATATATTTATTTCGTATTTTATATTTTGACACGTAATTTCATATAGAATAATTAGTTAAACGGAATGGGATCAAATTTAATTGTTTAAAAAAAATTAATTTCGGTACATTCATATACTTATAGGCTATATGTATAAAATAGTATTAACTTTTTATTATTTTAATTTAAAAGTTTAAGTAATTTAAATTTTGTCAACAAATTAATTTATAGTTTTCAAATGTTATAAAACTAGTATTTTTGTTAGGCATATACTAAAATAATTTTGACACAATTAATTACTATTCAAATTTAATGTAAATAATTTAGTAGTATTAAATAGTAGTAAATAATTTTCAGTAGGTAATAATATTTAGTAGAATAATATGTATTTAAGTCTTTAGTAAATAATGATTGATTCGATTGTTATTAAGTGTATTACTTAAGTTTAAACAATGTTCTTACAAATATATAAAATATTAGAGATAATTTGCATTTATAGTAACTAATATCATTATTAAATTTTTTATTGCAAATGTTTGCATAAGTTTAAATATTAAAATTAATTATTTAACAATAAAACTACTGAATCTGACTTTACTTCTGCCTATTACACAGTTATTTACACTATATCTGAAACCATTTTAACTGTTTTGTTTTTTGCCGTATAGTTATGAAAACTGTAATATTACAAATAATAATTTTTAATATTAAGATATGTTAATAATAGTAAATGTTTGCAATATTGGAAAGATACAAACACTTAAAAAAACGAATATGAATTTAAATCGTTAACAATTTAATTAATTAATATATATTGTTGTATTATTCATCTATAGTGTTCAATTTTTGTTTAATGCTGTGGTACAAATAATTATTTTTTTAAGAAATGCAAAGCAAATAATATTTAATAATATTTTCTATATATATATATATTTTCTATATAATATTTTTGCCTTTTCTTTTGTTTATTCATTATTAGGTGGATAAACTAATCACATTTATATAATATTATCAACGATATGCAAAAATCAGTCTTTTTTATAGAAATATTTAACCGATATCTGAAACATTTGACAGAAATTAAAATAAGGGTAGCTAAATGGAAAAAATGTCATAAATGTACCGGAGAAAATCAAACTACAACATTGACTGCTTTACCTGGAATGAAATGTACTGCGATTTTTTTTTTCTAAAGTTACAGTTATTTTTTTCATATTTTGCTACATAATTTGAAACTACTACAATAGTGGAACAATCGTTCTCAACTTGATAAAGGCTTAACACATACTGACGGAGCAATATGAGTTATAAATTAGAAATACTGGATAAGTTCTACTAAATAAATACCACATTTAAAATATTAACATCGAACAAATATTACAAATAGGTTTGTCGGATTATTACAAAAGTGGGATATTATTCATTATAATATTAAGTAGTACACAATAAAATATCTAATCTAACTCTAATAACGATTTTTTGGATTATTCCTTATTTATTTTAATTTTATTCGCAAATAATATGATATACTTGTTTATTCGTAATAATTGTATATACATTACTACAATAGGGAAATGTTATATAACTGTGGTATGAAATCCAGTGTAAACATATGCGGTCAATTTTAATTAAAGATATACTGTTACGCAACACTATACGTTACATAGACACATGTCACCAACACGTATTGCACAAAGAGAGGGTATCGCTGTTGGTTATTGCAATTTTTTTTATGAAAAATCCTCCTCCCGATTTCTTGTTTGATATTTATACGACTGTCGGTCTATGTACAGCTGCATTTGATTTAACCGAGTCAGAATATCGCAATGGAGCGGTGAAAATATTATTATAAAAAAAAAAAAAAATAACGAGGAACGTTTGAAAAAGTGTACAGAAACGAAAAGTTAAAAAACCCGTCGCGAAATAACGAAATCACTGAATTTTTATTTATTTTTTTTCTAAAGGTCGTTTTATTGCTTGACATTTTCGTATCGTAATAATTGAAGTTTGCGGTCCCGATGCGTTTGAGATGAAAGTCATTGGGAATTCGTATAAATTACGTTTTGATTTCTCACTATTCGTTCGTAACGAACCGTTATTATTATTATAAAGCCGCGCGGAAGAAAAGCAATGAGGGGCCAGGACGGACCACCAAGTCCTCCGGGGCCGGTATATCGAAGAAAATATTAAGTGCGCATTATTAAAATGACTTCGGTTCGGTTAGGCAGTACGTATTCGACGCGAGCACGTCGGACCGTTTCGGGTTCTCGGCGGCAGGGTGCGTTCGGTGTAACGGGGCGTCCAATGGCGAACGTCCGCGGCGCACTACACCGGGGCGAGTGAACACGCGCGCGCACTCCACTGCCGCCTACAACAGCAACGCCCGGCGGCGGCGGCAGGCCGGTCACCTTTGCCGCCGTCACCGCAACGCCGCTATGCCGTGAGACGGTTCGGTTCACGGTTACCACGGTGGCGGCGGCGGCGGCGGCCGGCCCCGTCCAGCAACAACCGTGATCTTGTGCACACCGCGGCCCGCGATGGTTCGCCCGGCCCGGTCGCCTAGCTTAACCGAATGCGCGTGCGCGTACGCGCGAGGGCGCGAGCGTCGTCCGTCGTGGTTACTGTAGCCACGGTCATTATCGAACACTGTTCGATAGTGGTTAGCGATAGTAACATTTAACGATTTTCAAACCGATTTTGGCGTACTTATGTTGTGATCGTAAGACACATTTCGTGTTTCTACTATATCCTAACCTAACGAATTTTGAAATAAAATGCGTTTCGTCTCGCCGCGAGGTTTTCAAAACAATTATAAAACCAAAGCGGCCACTTTATGGCGCGTAAGACGAATTTTTGATTACCCACGAACAGCGGGTGTTATTAGGAATATCGGCGGGAGCGCAATAAGTTTGAAAATGATTGCAAAACATTAAAACGAAATCGTGCATTGGACAAACGGTTCTTACGAAGGTGGCGCAGAAAAGAAAAAAAACATTTCAAGATTCCCGAATGCTATATTGTCTACTTCGTGTGGTAAGCCCTAACGGCCGGACGCAGTTTAGACAGTTTGCTTTTGAACTTACCTGCTCCTCGTCAAACACAACAGTGTAAACGGTACTCCGTAGCCGTTCGTTTCGTCCAGAGCACCGTTCGTGTTTTGTTCGGTACGATTGGTTAGCAGATTTTAGTTTGATCCGGTCCGCGTTAACCGATGGCGCGCGAAAGAGACCTACCCGGCGGTTACCATCGATAGTCCGTACCGTCCGATAGTGTACACGACCAGGCCGTCGTGTGCGCGCGGTCGTCGCCGCCGCCGCCGCCGCTCGGTGGGGAAGAGGACGCTATCGACGTTTCGGGTTCCGTACAACGCTCCGTAGCTGCCAGTTTTGCGTGCGCCGTGCGATCGTTCGTACACGTACAACACGCACACGCTTATCTTGCTCGTCCGTACGGTCTCGTATTGGCGTGTCCCGAGTATCGAGTTCACTCAACATTTATCAACCGCCGCGCGGCTTTTGAACGCCACTCGCAGTCGGAAGCCCGTTCACGCCGTCCGGCCGCCCGAAGAGGAGATCACCACCGCCGCTGCGTGCGAGCCCACGGAAAACGACGCCCGTTTCCATACGCCCCCGGCTCACGCGGGGGGGCGCGTAGTGCGTCCAGAAGGTTACGACTATGTCGGGCGTCCGTTGGACGGGGTTGGAGACGTGCCGCTGTTGAACGGAAGTTCGCCGCCACCGCAGTCGTCGACCAATCCGCATACCGCAGACTACGGACGCCACCGCCCCGGGGGACAACACCATGTTCAGCGGCTAGAGAAGTTTGCGCACGGCTCGAGACATCCGCTTACCACCGACCAAGCGTACCAGACCTCCCGTACATTCCGAACGCACGCCGACCCGGCCAACATGTAGAACGATGTCACCGTCTCCGAAGACCATCGGCCGCAGGTGAACCCTAAACATATTTATAATACATATTCATATACGTAAACACAATAACAACCGCGATATTTGCACGGCGTACCAGCGCGTTGTTCACGGTTAAATTGTTTTCATCTCCACTAGTCATCACCAATGCGTACAAGCGTACAATGTATCCTAAACGGTTTAGCCTCTGCGGGCACAGCGCTTGACGCGTCTCTCTTTTGTTTTTCCGTTTGTATATATATATATTTATTTTTTTTGTTTTTATCGAATATAATATCTCGTCAGCGCGCCTCGGGGGCCGAGTAGATTACGCGTCCGTTTATGACGGTGTAACGCGGCGTGTAAGAGGCGTTTGTGCCTACGCCGAGCCTGCACCGCCGACCGTATACACCTGTGCATCGGCGAACAACGTTCAAACACTCCGTTCGGCACACGTGTGTGAATTATGGTGTGTTACGTACGTTTGCGCCAGGCCAATGCACGGCGTACACGTTAATGATGACGACGCGCGCGCATTATTATTGTTATTGTTGTTGTTCTTACGCTCTCCCGGTGAACTCGTCGTGCCCAACGAACAGGTCATCGTCTCGGCGCGTACACCTAACGACCGCGTTCGCAGGATCTCCGCGGTCTTCCCGGACGTTACAGGTCTGATGCGGAAACATCGAGCGCCATTCGATTCTTTTCTTCCAGTCGCGATTCTCCGTCTCGGCAACAACTGTTCGACCGACGCGAACCGTATACATCGATATCGCACGCCACAATCGCCGTTCCGGTTGCGCGATGTTTTTAACGTACGCGTTTCAAGTTCTCCGACGGTTTCGCCAACGCGTCGTTACAACCTCAACGTTCGACCGTACACGTGTAATCCATAATTTCGTTAAGAACGTCAATCTACTGAACACAATCTTCGGGTGCGTTGCGTCCGTGTTCGTTGACCACATTTCGGCGGCGCGTTTATAACAAACACGACGAGAATCATTTCGACCATCTGAGCCGTTCGGCACGTTGAACCGTCTGTTAAGTATTTAACACAATAGCCAATGTTGACCGTTTTGCTCCCATACTTGAAATGTTTATCGTCATTTTTCACATCAGTTAGTTTTTAATGAAATCCTACAACTGCTAGCAAAGTGTTCCTTGCCTTTTGTTTACGACTCGACAGTGTATACACGGGTAATTAATAATTCTAATAGTGTTTTACGTTAAAATAAATGTTATGCCCGAGAACCGAAAGGAACGAAATTCGATGATTAATTTTCACGTTTAGTGTTTCAAGAAACAGTACTTAATTCAGTATTGTATGAATAATCAACAGCCTCATCCCGGGAAAGCGAATTGAGTAACTCTACGTAGAGTACTCGCTGAGTGAACCGAGACAAGTGCGCTACATCAGTAACTTTTAAGTTGATTATACGTATATCAGTACCACGCACACCGACTAACAATATACATACATGTAGCGGAGTCTCGAAGTCGCGAAATATTCCATCGCGTTGTATTAACGCGCGACGAGTAATTATTTTGATAATTACTCGCAAATGCAAGTACGGCGGATACGCTTTACGGCAAGAAGTTTCGTTCTAATTATTATCGTATATCGTATATTTCATATTCGTACGATTATTCTAAGCACATCTCTCGGGCCGTTACGAAGGAACTTTTTCTTTATTTTTTTTCAGAAAAATTTCCAATTCCTAAGTACCATACGTTTACACCCGTTGGGCTCAGACAGTACTATTGTATCGAACACTGTATGCGCAGGTATCTACTTATAAATAAACTCGTTTTGTTAAACCACAACGACAAGGGTATGTATCTGCTGGCTATGGTAAACATGATATTTTATTCAGTTCATTTATACGCCTATTACCCTTCGATTTCATTACCCGTGGTACCCGCTTGTTATTTTAGGTCAATTGAAGGAAATACTTGTTCAATAGGGCTGTATATACTCTTTCATATGTACATAATTTTTTGTATCCGTTTCTATTATACTTCAAGGGTTACTTTTGTGTCAATTTTATAGTTATGTATTACAGCTTATTTCAGTTGATACGTCATCCGTGTAATATTCCGATTAAAATTCAAATAAATACATTTATAATATTTTTGACGAAAACTCAAGACGTAAAACATCGATTCATATACTTCTTATTTTATTTTAAAGTTCAAATTGTTATTTTTCGAGACACAATATAATCACAAGGGTAGTTTTTATGAGTCTTTCTTTTGAAAGGTTTCGGCTGTGGCGCCATTTTAATTTTCTATAAAGGGTTTTAAAGTTCAAGCAGGAAAATGTATTTTTATTCCTTAAACAGAAGAAATGAAACGGTGGAATCGTATTTTTACTAATAAATAAGACGCATATATTTGCTAATAAGTGTCCTGTTCTCCTTCTTGTAATTTATTTTATGTTACGGATTTCAACGATACGTAACGTGGTCCTAGTTTTAACACTTTTACTTTAAATTATTAAATAAATATTTAAATTATTAATTGAACTTTTGATTTTTTTGATTAAATATAGTTGCTATAAACCAAATCGTTGACGTTTAGGTTTTTGGTAATTTTTTAAGAAATATTAACTTGCATACTTTCGTAGTTTTAAATATTTTAGATTAATTTTATTTACCAAGTATTTATTATTTTTTTTTTGCAACACTCGTAATAATTATAAACTTAAAATCAATTCGTCTGAGCTTCAAGGATTTAAAAATTAAATATTTTTCAATCATTTATATTTACTTTTAATATTTTTATCGGGTTATAACTTCCTTTTTTTAAAAGGGTTGTTTGTCTTTTTTTTTATTTTGATTAGAAAACATTTTAATGTTGATGGAAAAAAACTTATAAAAAACTCTTACTAAAAAGTGATTGACCTTTTAATGAAACTAAAAAAAAATTAATTATTTGTGGATAGTATAGGTTATAGTAATTTACCGGATTGAATTAATAATGTAGTTTTATATATTTAAGTTTTGTATACATTTATGGTGTTGGATTTTTAACATGTATGAGAAAAAGAAAAATCGCACAATAACAAATAGTTATGTTGCTCGATTATTATAAACGTAGTTTAATTTATTTTTATTTATTCATTTATTTGGTAAAATTAATTTAGACATTAGACGCAATTTTCCAAATGTTTCAATAATATTTATGTGGATTAACATTTTGGTTGCTAGATTAGACAAGTATTAGCCTGCAATCAATTTGTATCATTGAACCAAACTGCGTTCATTGTTATAAATCCACTTTATTAAGATATGGTTTTGCATTTCACTGTGTTTGTATACATGTGTTTTGCTTTTTATTAATAATTTATTTGCTTGCAGGAAATTGTATTTATTATAGTTAAGATATTAAATTTTTCATTAGTATATTAATTGTAATACGTACGTATTCATGCATATAAACATAAAATTATACATTGTATATACATATCTATAATACTATTTATAATATCATAGTTACATTAACTTATATATGTACATATATTTGGTATTTATGTGTGGCTAAAAAGAATATTATAATGGCTATTTTTCGTATTATTATTTTAGAAATTAACCAGCCTTATTTTATTAAACAGTATTACCTAGGTATACAGTATAGCATTATTTTAGGGCTAAGTTAGATGTTGGTTATGTTGGTTATTATTGGTATTGATAATAAGGTATTATTAAATTAAATCAATAAGACTAAAATTTACCATTGTATCTTTTGAACATAAAAATAAAAAATAATAATTACATTTTAATATAATATTTCTATGAATAATATTATGATTCTTTATGATATTATAAAAATAAAAATAAATATTTGTTCAAATTTTAATTTAATTTAACAATACCTAAACTGACTTATATCATACAGCATGTCATTGAACTAGTAAATAAAAAATACGTATGTGTGAAAACACATGGTTTTAAGGCATGATTTTCATATTAGTTTTGTGAAGCAAACTATTAAAACTCACAACATTCTTTTGAAGTTAATTCACATTGAAAAACTTGATTCAATCATGTTGAGTATTTGATATACATTTTGTTTACCTATATACTTGATGTAATACTTATGCATTAATCTATTGTACCATAAATTATAGAAAGGTACATTCATTTTCTTATAAATTCCAATTATATAGGTACTTATACTATATACTATATATATTATATTAAAGTAAAAATCACAATATGTTCTATTTATTGACTCAAAGCCTAATTAAATTTTTTTAAATATTAAAATAAAACTTTTGTCGTTTCAAGATAATACAATGAGTAAATTATGTGTTTAAATACTTAATACTGAATATACAAGTGGGTAATTTTAATGAATACACTACTTAAAAAATAAAAATACGTATAATAATATTCTTCGATATTTTTATAAGTTAGTTATAGTAGATGTTTAAAATAGAAAATATTTTATTTGTTTATTGATTATTATTAGAAATTTATACATCATTTTATATAAGCGTTTATTAATTATTTACTATTAACAAATTCGTGATATTAGATATTATTAATTACATTTTTTATTTTTTTCATTTTTTTACTTTACTATAGAGAAGACTAAAATCATATAAGGGATAGTTATTTAATTATTTTTATGTTCTAATTTTGCATAATAAAATTTAATTGCAATTATTTAAACCAATTTTATAGTAGAATGGAGTTTGATTGAAAGTGTTATTGAATTTTTAATATTCCTTTTTGGTTACAATGTCATTCACTGCATTTTTAAAATTAATTCCAAGTCTAACAAAGTAATGTTTAAATAAAATGAATATGGTTCAAGAGAAAAGTATTTTATTTGTAAAAGAAAATAAAATGTTGGTGAAAACTCTCATTCAATCAGAATCAAAGAAATTAGATTATATACTTGTATTATTTTAAAGTGCAATACATTGAACAATAAAAATAAATTCATTGAAAAATGTTCATAAAACACAACAATTAATACTTATTTTTAGTTTTGTTCTTTATATTTTTAAAATTATAAATATTATGGTTTGTTGT